TGATCGGCAGTCAGTGAGCCTAGGTTTGCTCTCTTCACAACAGAGGCCTAACTGATCGGCTAGTCAGTGAGCCTAGGTTTGCTCTTTTCACAACAGAGGCCTAACTGATTGGCAGTCAGTGAGCCTAGGTTTGCTCTCTTCACAACAGAGGCCTAACTGATTGGCAGTCAGTGAGCCAAGGTTTGCTCTCTTCCCTAAGAACAAGTGAAGGGCCTTATGGGATTGGATCAAGATCCACCATCCTTTACAAGAATCCCAGGAGTCCGCAGCAGTGTTCCCTCCAAGCTGAGTCAGTGTGAGCTAGCTCACAGCTTTTTAGCCTCCGGCTCACACATTTTTGTCTCCGCTCAGGAAGGACGGCTCCAGAGCAAACTAGTTTATGCACTAGCCAAATCGCTCGCTCACTACTTTAATGTCGGTAGCTCGCAATGTAGAATGTTTGCTCACAAGACTCCACAGCTTAGAGGGAGTGTTGGCCCCCAGGTATAATGCAGCCCACCAGAAATTAGGCAGTAAACCCAATCATTTTCTTGAGAAAGCGGGACCTGTTCAGACAGTCCCTAGCCCCAGATATATCAGGGTTCCCCCTTTTTGTACCTCAGCCAGCCAGAGACACCGTGGCAGAACTGAGATCCCACGGCCAAGCGTAATTAGACCAAGTCCAGGCAGACCCAAGTTCAACCCTCTGCTCGGTAATGAAGTTCACGTAGCTCAACACCTCCTTCTCCGCCTAAACTACACTGCAGGATTGTTGGGAGAATGCAGTGTAGGAGACAGGGAAAGAACCAAAGAGGTGAACTCCATCAGATCCAACTCTACCCCAGAACTGGCCCCTACAGGGTTCCCTCTTCTCCAGGAATGCTACCGATCCTATTGCAAGGCTGCGTTCAGACCTCACAGTTAACCACGGTTAGTTTGCCCAAACCCTGGTTTAGCTGCAGTGTCTGAACACAGATGGTCCAGTATCCCGAGGGTTTGGTGGTTGGTCCCAAAGCAAGGTTTCCAGCATGCTGGTTTGTGAGCCGGAGTTTGTACCTGTGGCTTGGGGCAACCGCTGAATTTGCAAACCGGAGTCCGTTGACTGAAGCTAAAACAATCACAACCAAAAGGTAAAATGAAAGTTTACAAAGCCCTATCCCAAACCAGGATTAGCACCCGCTCCTTGTGGCCGCCTGGCTACACAGTCAGTAGCGTGTCGGCAGAAAGGTAAGAAGCAAGGCGTTTACACACTGCCTGGAGTTTGCCACTTCTGTCTAGCAGAAGAGGCAAAGTTTTCTGGACAAACCAACAATGAAATAAACCCCGGTTTACCATTTGGTCTGAATGTAGCTTTTCTGATTCCCCACCAAAAGCCGCCTGGGATGCAAGGGAGACCGCCGTCCTCATACCTATTCCCAGGAAACACTGTCCTAATCTCTCACTCTCTGTTCGTTTTAAAGCACTGTATACACACACACACACACAAAGACCCTTTAAAATACCGGTTTGCGTATTTTATGACATTTGGATTGTTTTCCGTTGTTTTTGCAAACCGTCGTGAGCCGTCAGATAAGAAGGGCTCACGCAGAATCTCTGTTGAACATAAATAATTAAAGGGAGGAAGAAAAAGAAAAAAGGTCTGCATTGCAGCAGGAAAAGCAAACAGGCTTGGATTAAAACAGAAACACAGAACTGTTATCCTGCCCTTCCCGTTGTGTGCCACTTTTAAAGGCCTGAAGAAGAGTTCTATATGGACCCCGATGCCTGCATTCACTGGAAACTCCCCGGAGACAATGGAGCTTTCTTAAGAGCCAGAACTGGTTATCCGTTCTCTAGGACTTCAAACAGAGAAAGACTGTCCTGGAGATTCCTTAATGGGAGATGCCAGGATTTGAACCTAGGACCTCCTGTGTACCACAAATTCAGCGGTTGCCCCAAGCCACAAACCAGCTTGCTGGAAACCTTGTTTTGGCACCAACCACCAAACCCTGGGGGTGTCTGTGTTCAGACACTGCAGCTAAAACCAGGGTTTGGCCCAAAACAAGACACTGAGCCAGTATAAAACAATATGAAGTGGCCTCGTACCAGATCAGACGACTGGTCCATCCAGATCGGTATGATTCACACCGGCCATGGTTCAATGTCCTTCCCCAGCTATGGCAACCTGAGATCCTTTTAGCTGGGCATTTCACAAGTCAAAACGAAAGGGGGGGGGGTACCATAAAATAAGCAGATGAAGACAGAGCATGTGCACTGCCCTCTTGGGAGCACAAAATTGCTGAAGGCAATGGAGCCTCAAAACCAAGATCCCAAGGTGAGTTTTTCCGCTTCAAACCAGCCTCATAAAATTACCCTGCTCACCTATGGCGACCACGAGGATCGAACGCAGGCGATCAGGTAGAGATGATTTCAGATAACGTACACCGGGGTTCCTGCCGCCCCCCCTTTTTCAGGGGCTGCTCAAAAACGATGACAGCCAGGTTTGCAAAGCAGGCAACTTTAGTCCTACGTATTGCTCTTTAACCGCAGGACAGGTTGCTGGGTCCACTATGGTTTTTATCCCCCCCCGGGGGGGGTTTTGCCACAACTAATTTCTCTGTTTTAAAATGTGCAAAACTGGGAATCGAAGTGGGGGAGGGACCCAGCTGACACGACCAGCTGCCGACACGGGGAGGGAAAGCGCCGTTGCTTTGTTCTGTTGCCGGCGGCTTCAGATTTGGGACGGGCCCCAACTTGTGCCGCTATCGAAAAGGAACTTCCCCAGTTTTAAAACCTTTTATATATTTTTAAAAACAAAAAAACAAAAAACCTCAACCCGATCAAAGCAAACCCTTCTGACAGGAACTTTTATTTCATTGAAACGAGCTAGCAAATGGGTCTATGAAGACCTGGGAAGAGGGAGGGGACAACTCGCACCCCCGCAAACACATCGCTGCCAAAAACTAAAAATAAAACGAGAGGGATGTGCTTCTTCCCCGCCTCAAATTCTTTTCTTTCTTTCTTTCATTCTTTTTTTTTTTTTAAAGGTATCTTTGGCACAGATAGACTGTTTCGCACGACAGCGAAAAGAAAGTAGTTCAAGAACACTGGGGGGAGGGGGGGAAGCATTCTTTAAAAAAAACAAAAATGGCAAGCTATGAGGTCTACGCCCCCTCAAGGAAAAGACACAGTGTGGCGCAGTAGTGCTGATCTAGGATTGGGCCCGCAGAGCAGAGCGTAAACCTCAGTGTCGATACAAGGTTACAGCCTGGGCCTAGCCCTTGCTGAGGCGGCCGACCTGTGTCCGGGCTGGAGCCCTACACGAACAAAAACGTACCCCCGCAGAAAGAAAAACAAAAGCCCGCACATAGAAAACCAACCGAAACTTTTCTTTCTGAGCAGGTGCCCTCAAGTCAGCTCCAAGCCAAAATTTACTTCAGAATCTAGCCTCGTGGCTAGGTATAAAGAACCAGGAGGCCGAGCGGCCCTCAGTTGGAGGCAGTGGTCCCGCTAAGCTGAGTTAGTGTGAGCTAGCTCACCGTTTTTTAGCCTCCAGCTCACAGATTGTTGTCTTAGCTCAGGAAAGATGGCTCCAGAGCAAACTAATTTATGCAGTAGCTAAACTGCTCGCTCACAACTTTAATGCCAGTAGCTCACAAAGTAGAATTTTTGCTCACAAGACTCCTCAGCTTAGAGGGAACACTGGTTGGAGGTAAGGCTGCTGGGGGTCCTCCACTGCCCTACAGGTGGCTTGGGGGGGGGTCTTACCCAGAAAAAGAGTGAGGCCCACTCAATGTGGCAGCAACATGTCTACGTTACTTCTGACGTGATCTGGAAATGACGTCATCAGCTCGGCGATGTCAGGGCAACTCTGGTATTTGGGCAAAAACTCTATGGTAGAAACCAAATTCATCATAGAGTTTCTACCAAAACATTGCCCCGACGTTGCTACATGATGATATCACCTCTGGGTCATGATGGAACTGACACAGAGGCGTTGCTGCAACATCAGCTGGGCCTTCCTCCCGCTCCTGGTAAGTCCCCCTATCCCCCACATCCTTTGGTCCCTCGTTTGGGGGCAGGGTTGGCAGACTGCAGGGAGCTCAACTATAAAGTCATCAATCACCTGGGAAGAGGAAAAGAGAGAATATGGGTCTCATTCAGCCTTCCAAGGTTGGCGGGAGAGCAACAGAAAACGACAAATCGTACCTGATCCTCCAAACTGCGTGCTCGCAAGCGTCGTGGGTCTGTTTTTGCCGTTGGCCACGGGCAAGGGGAACATCTAGAAAAAAGAGAAGCAGATATGAAATGGAAGAAGACCTCAGGGGTACAGTGGGTAGCTTGGGGCACGTGTCTTGCTATCTGCCTCCCTGGCAAGCACCCCTCTCTCTCCCCCCCAATGCATTCTGGGTAACCCACACAATGATCATAATCAGCGCAGCTCTAATGCCCTTCAAATGCCGCTTCATCTGTTTTATTTATTGATTTAGGAGACTTATCTCGCTTTTCCCCATCCACGGACCCCAAAGTGGCTCACGAGGTACGCCTAAAAGACAAATCTCACAGATGCACAAAATAAATTGGAATGCCAGCCTCCAGGTGGGGCCTGGGTATAGGTTCCTGGTGCTGGGGTGGCTGGAAGTCTCCCAGAATTACAACGGGTCTCCAGCCAACAGAGACCCCCACCCCTGGAGAAAAGAGCTGCTGTGGAAATATCAGTCTCTAGGGCTGTACCCTAAACCCCGTCACCCCGTCACCAGTTCCCTCCAAACCCCACCCCCATCTCTAGGAATTTCCCAACCCAATTACAGTTCATTTCCACACTCCGGAGATCAGTTCCCCTGGAGAAAATGGATGCTTTGGAGGGTGGACTCTATGGCACTGTACCCCACTGAGGTCCCTGCCTTCCCCAGGTTCCACCCCCAAATCTCCAGAAATTTCCCAAACTGGAGCTGGCAACCCTAACGTCCTCCTGCCAGTGGCCGGGGACACCTGGCAATCCTATAAAAAAAAACCAGTTTCACAACGGGTTTTTTTTAAAGTACCCATAGGTACACTTTTATTAATTTTTTTATAATCTACAACAAATCTACACACAACAAACAGACACTCTACTACACATAACGTATATACCAAGAGTACAGTTACATTATATGCTTATATGCAATTACTAAATTAATAAAAACGCTATATCAAACACTTTCCATTCTTCTGTCTTCTGTGTTCTCAAGTCCATTGCGCTATCATTGCCTAATCTTCTATTACATTTGCATTATACCAATCATAAAACTTTTTCCATGTTTTTTGAAATGTCCACTCTTTGCTTAATCTAATTTCTAAAGTCAGTTTATCACTTTCTGCTGTTTCAAAAAGTTTATTCACAAACTCCTGTTTCGTTGGTATCACCATAGTTTTCCAATATTTGGCATATAAAATTCTTGCAGCTGTCGTCATATAAACAGTCAAATACCTATTCTCTTTTTCATA